ACAAAACATACAACCCAATTTTTAAATGGGCATATAACTTGAATAGACATTTTTCCAAAGAAAATATATAAGTAGCCAACAACCACATGCTCAATGGCATTAATCATTAGGGAAAAACAAGCCAAAGTGACAAGGAGATACCATCTCACTCCCATTAGAATGGGTAATATATATACACAGAAAGAACAGGTGTTGATGAGGATGTGAAGAAGTAGAACCCTTGTGCACTGCTGGTGGGAATGTGAAATGGTACAGCTTCTGTGGAAAACAGTATGGCAGTTGCTCAAAAGCTTTAAACTAGAATCACTATATGATCTTACAGTTTCACTTCTGGGTATGTACCCAAAAGAATTGAGAGCAGGGTCTCGAAGAGATATTTGTTCATTATGAAAAACAGCATTATTCACAATGGTCAAAAGGTGGGAGCAATCCGGGTGTCCATCAGTGAAGAATGAATAAACAAAATGTGGCAAATACATACAATGGAATATTATTAGGCCTTAAAAAGGATAAAAGTTTGACACTTGCTACAGCATGGAGGGAGCTTGAGGACGTCACACTAAGTGAAATAAACCAGTCACAAAAGACACATGCTGTATAGTTTCAGACTGGAAAGATGAAAAGAGTTCTATGGATAGAGAGTGGTGATGGTTGCACACCAATGTGAATATGCTTAATTGATTTTTAAGTATACATTGAACTGTATACTTAAAAATGGTTAAGACAGTTAATTTTATGGTGTGTATATTTTGCCACAATTTTTAAAGAAAAAGAACACACAGATCATTGATAATTCCAGTACTGGACTTGACTCAGAATAAAGTAATTAAGCATCTTTTTAAAAAATTAAAGCAAAATTATGAAACTTATAGAAAAAAAAAACACAGGCACATGCCTTCAGCATTTAGGGACAGGGATAAGTTTTTACACCTAACACCAAAAACATGATACATAAAAGGGAAATGTGATACTCTATAAATCCTCAAAATAAAAAGCTTTTGCTCAGCAAAAGCCTATGTAAAGAGAATGAAAAGACAAGCTACAGACTGAGAGAAATATTTGCAATATCTGGACACATAAAGAACTCTCAACACTTTAAAAGAAAAAAAAACAATTCAATTAGAAAATAGGCAAAAGGCATGAACTAATATGTTACCAAAGAAAACATGCAGATGGAAATTTTTTTTTTAAGTTGGAGTCTCACTCCATTGCCCAGGCTGGAGTGCAGGGGCACGCTCACGGCCACCCCAGCGTCGACCTGTTGGGCTCAGGTGACTCTTCTGCTTCAGCCTTCCAAGTAGCTGACTTTGTCATTGTTTACAATATGGCCAGGCTGAGAATTTTCCAAATCTTTAAGTTCTGCTTCCCTTTTGATTAGAATATTCATCTTTAATTCACTTTTCTTCTTGCATCTTACTAGAAGCAGTCAAGAGAAGCCATGCTACACCTTCACACCTTGCTTAGAGATTTCTTTTACTAAATATCCTATTTCATCTCTTGTAAGTTCCTCCTTCCATGAAACACAAGGATACAAACACAATTCATCCAAGTTATTTGCCTCTTTATAGCAAAGATAGTTTTTCCTCTGGTTTCCAATAACATGTTCTTCATTCCATCTGAAACCTCATCAGAATGGCCTTTACCATACATATTTCTACGAACATTCTGATTATGACCACTTAGGTCACCTCTAAAAGGACTATAGCTTTCTTTACAGCTCTGTCCTTCTTCTGAGCCCTCACCAGAATAGCCCTTTACTATCCGTTCATGACAATATATCTTTTTCCCTAGCCTGCTCCTCCAAACTAATTCACATCTGCCCATTACTGAGTTCCAAAGTTGCCTTCACATTTTTAGATATTTGATGCAGCAACATTCCTACTTCTTGGTACCAGTTTCTTAGTCCATATGACAAAAATACCTTTGGGACATTTATAAATAATAGAAATGTATAGCTCATAGTTCTAGAGACTGTGTAGTTCAAGATCAAGGAATCAGAAGATTCGGTGTCCGGAGAGAGCTCTGTTGGCTTCATGTCCTCATGTCAGAAGGGACAAACGCTGTATCCTTATTTAGTGGAAGGACAAAGCAGCTCCCTTCAACCTCTTATAAGGGCCACTAATCTCCTTTGTAAGAGCAGAGCCTTTATGACTAAATCACTTCCCCAAAGGCTTCACCTTTTAATACCGTGGCATTGTGTTTTAGGTTCCAACACGTGAATTTGGGAAGAATACCAACATTTAGACAATAGCACCATCTTGACCTCATGGCCAGTGGCTGAGTCAGGATGGAGCATCTTCCTGTCTTTTCTTTCTTTCTGGGTGTATTAGGGTTCTGTAGAGAAACAGAACAAACAGGATATATAGTTATAAGAGGGAATGTATTATGGGAATTAGTTCATATGATTATGGAGGCCAAGAAGTCCCACAGTCTGCTGTCTGCAGGTTGGAAACCCAGGAAAGCTGGTCATATAATTCAGCCTAAGTCTGAAGTTCTAATAACCAGATGATGGTGTAATTCCCAGTCCAAGGCCAAAGGCTGGGGAGCCTGGAGTTCTGATGTCTGAGTACAAGAGAAGATGGATGTCCTAGCTGGAGTTCTGATGTCTGAGGACATCAGAAATAATGAATTTGCCCTTCCTCTGCCTTTTTGTTCAATGTTGACCCTCAATAGGTTGGATGGTACCCAACCATCCTGCTTTGCCAGATATCTGAGTAGCCCTTAATTCAGTTAAGTTGACACCAAAAATTAACCATTACACTAGGTAAAATGTGTGTGTGTGTGTGTGTGTGTGTGTGTGTGTGTGTGATTGTTGCCCAGGCTGGAGTGCAGTGGCACAATCACAGTTTACCACAGCCTCAACCTCCTAGGCTCAAGCAATCTTTCTGTCTCAACCTCTCAAGTAGCTTTGACTATGGGTGCCCACCACCACACCTAGCTAATTAAAAATAATTTTTTTTTGTAGAAACGAGGTCTCACTATGTTTCCCAGGCTGGTCTCTAATTCGTGGGCTCAAGCCATCTTCCCACCTCAGTTTCCCAAAGTGCTGGGATTTGGATGTGAAGGTGATCTGGCTTCAACATCTGTCACCCCATGGATAGCTAGGGCTGATTCAGCTGACCTGGCTGGCTAGGCAGGTGTCCCCTAGCTTCCCCATTGTTCCATGTGTGTCCCTCCTTTATTTATTTATTTATTTATTTATTTATTTTGAGTTGGAGTCTCACTCCGTCTCCCAGACTGAATTGCAGTGGGATGTTCCCGGCCACCTCAGCCTTGACCTGCTGGGCTCTGGCGATCCTTCTGCCTCAGCCTTTCAAGTAGCCGGAACTACAGGCGTGCACTATCACGCCCGGCTAATTTTTTTTTTATTTATTGTAGAGATGAGGTCTTGCCAAGCTGCCCGGGCTGGTCTTGAACCCACAGGCTCAGGCAATCCACTCGCCTTGGCCTCCCAAAGCAGTGGGATTACTGACTGAGCCACTGAGCTCGGCCTATGCATCCCTCCTAAAACTGCATGCTCAAAGAGGATGGGCTATTCTTTGGTCAAGGGTATACAAGTAGCTATGCTCCCCTGCTAGAACTTTCAAACAAGTGCTCAAGGTCCACAGTGCTGAGATTATACACGTGAGCCACAGCGCTCGGTCATATGTATATATTTTAATTTTATTGTTCTTCCCATTCTCCTTCTATTTTAGAAGGCGTCTGGTTGGTGATGGTTACATTTAAAATAGAGTTCATACATTTCAGAACCCCAAACAGGATCACCGCTGAACTAGAAGAGGAGCAGTTATCACTAGCAGATCCTGAATGTGGAGCTAAACAGTCAGTGATGAAAAGTTGTGGTGTCCCCTTTTGGGAAGAGGATGAATACATTTTTGTTTGTACTCAGGAAAGTTATTCATCGAGAGCATTTTGCTGTCCCTGTTGCGTGGAAGAAGGTCCATTCTGCTGTTGGGCCATAAAGGACTAGATTGTGTTGTGTGTTTGTTATACTTTGTGGCCACCCAGCATGTTTAGATAGCCTTTTTTTCCTTTTTTCTTTTTCTTTGAGTCAGAGTCTCACTCTGTTGCCCAGGCTGGAGTGCAGTGGCATGCTCATGATCACCCTGGCGTTGACCTGCTGGGCTCAGTTGATCCTTCCTCCTCAGCCTTCCAAGTAGCCAGCACTACAGGTGTGCGCTACCATGCCCAGCTAATTTTTGTATTTATTGTAGAGATGAGGCCTTGCCAAGTTGCCCAGGCTGTTCTCGAACCTGTGGGCTTAGGCAATCCCTTCATCTCAGCCTCCCAGAGTGCTGGGATTACAGGCTTGAACCACCATGCCCAGCCGCACAGCCTTTTTCTGATTGAGAATGAAGTGCATGGTGCATTCCACCCGTCCAAAGTAGAAAGCATAACTCACTTTCCCAGTCTGCCTTGGCACTGGGCTATAAACATGTGACCAGGATCTGCCGATTAGACACACTCATGTGGGACTTTGATTCAGACGAGAGGAAAGCAAGGAAGCAGACACTGTGCAGTCTCTGTGTTCTCTGAGGTTGTCAGAGGGATGTTTAGTTTTGGGAGAGCAGCAGAGACAGAGCTTTTTATATGTAGCGTCATTAGTTCCCAGCTGGGGTGGCTGTCACACCTCCCCTGGAACAAATGGTTTAGGGTGGTTTGGGTTTGTTCCCTGTTGTATAACCCTAGAGCTTGAGTCTATGGTTCTCTTGGGGATTTAATTAAAGCACCTTTTCATTAAATTGTCTTCTGCTTAAATTTAGCTGGAGTGGCTCTGTCCTTTGTAGCCAGTAACTCTGGTTCACCTCCCACTACCATGCTCTTGTGAATGCCACCGTGTGCCCAACTCTGTGCTGAGCGGAGGGGAAGTGGCATTGTTCAGTGTTTAGAAAACATGGCTTTGTGATCAGATAGACCTAGGTTCAAATCCTAACTCCACCACTTTCTGGCTGCATACAAGTGGCTTTTCCTTTCTGAGCTGCATTTACTCAGGTCCTCAGTCACTTCAGAAGGCTGTGGGATGAGGACTGACTGTAAAGTGTCCCAAACACATGATGCTGGGTTCGCAGGCCATGGCTTCCTGGGTGCACAGAAATAGGTTTGGCCATAGCGTTTTCTGCAGAACCTATCTTCAGCTGGAAAGAGGCAGAAAAAGCAGAAAAGAGAAGCTGAGGGTGGTGTCCTGCTGAGCTGCTTCTCCTTCCCTGGAGGTGTGGGAGGAGAATGGATCCCATTCCCTACTCTCCACAGGTCCCAATGCTGTCCTCGGTGCAGGCTGAAGAGATTCATCTCCCTTCTAGCTAGACCGAGCCTTGGGAGACACTGCTCTTCTGTTTTATCAATGAACTTCCCAAGACTTGAGAAAGCAGTTCCACAGGCCCGACATCTCATAGCCCGGCCCTTGGAGACTGAAAGGCCCAAGTGTAGGAGAGGATAGTGTTGCTCATGAATCTTTTTAGCTCTTCTCTCCGTCCAGCCACACAGTGGAGTTGAGTATCCACCCCCCCCCCCAACAAGGTAAGGCATGGTCATGGAACTTGCTTTGGATAATGAAATATAGACAGGTGATATGTCACTTCTGGATGGCAGCCCTGAAGAGCCAGCTGGTAATTCTCCATCATCTCTCTTTCCTGGGTCTGGTCATCCTGGAATCCCATGTTGTTATGTTGCCGCACAGGGTCAAAGCAGCCTGAAATTCTGAGCCACTACCTGGAGAATGACTGCCATGAATGAAGAACCAGTGAGGTTGGGAGTTACTGCAGTAGAACTCAACCTAACCTAACTAACTTACCAGTTCCAACTCTAGAAGGCCACATAATCCATGGGTAGGCTTAAGGCCACCAGTAGGCCAGAGCTGCCTCCCTTCCTCATCTCACTGACCCCTACCATGCTTTAGAAGGGAGAAGAGCCTAGCTCGCTCCAATGGGGCAGTGCTGCTCTGACCTGTGTTTCAGGATGTGAGCTGCTTGGTCCCAAAACACAAAACTGGGGGAAAGTGAGTGCTCCAGAGATGCCACCGTGGTGCCTGCCTTCCACAGCCACCCAGAGGTTAGCATGACAGTGTCCAAGACATCCTAGAATGTGAAGGTGAAAACCTTGTGAGAATGAGGGAGGTGAGGGGTCACTGGAGGAAAAAGAGGCATCACGCAGGCTGATGGGGAACAAGAGGGGAAACTCAGAAAAGCAGAAGTGGCACGAGACTCAGGAGAGCAACCAGGCCCCCAGGCCTGTCAGTTAGCCTTGTTTTAGGGTGTCTAGAGCAAACCCCTGTTTCTTTCAGTCAAAGGACTGTGCAGAAAGGCAGTGCCAACATCCTAGGAACCTGTGCCTCCTCCCTGGCTGGTCAATACATCTGTAACAAGACTTTTCTCCCAGCCTGTCTCAGTCCTGGGAGGTCCTGTCTGACTTCTATGTATTCAGACATAAGTGCCACAAAAACAGTGGCCTCACCATGTGTCCCCAGAGCCTAGAATCCATCAGGCACAGAGCGAGTGTCTGCAAATTACCTGTGCCACGAAATAATTCTCAGAGGTCCCCAGGGAGAGCCACCTGTCCCCTCCTCAGAGGCCAACACCTGTCTTCCAAGTTTTTGTCTTCCCACGTGACTTTGTCAGCATCCCTGGTATCTGGCCCCTTCAGACCTCCCATGCCTGCTGTGGGAGGGATGAGTCCATATTGCTCATCACAGCATCCCTAGAGCTCAGACATGACTGGAGTGGCTGGTCCCTGCTGTCCTGTAGCTCCTGTGACTAAATGCCTGGTGCTCATGGGGAACCACACTTGCACAGGCCCTGGCCTCCTGTGGGCACTGCCTCCAGGACCTCGTCTGCTGTAGCCCGGGACCGCTCCTCTTTCAGGCCCCTCTGTGTCTGACAAGACCCACCCCAGCTCAGGTGCCTACTGCTGTCCATTTCTCAGTTCGTGACTCTGCGTGCTCCAGGAAGTCCAGCCCCCACTTAAGGGAAATGGACCCACGGGTGTTCTGAGGCACCGATGTCCAAGGGGTCTCTGTGCTGAGCCATCAGGTGACATGCTGCCCTTGCTCTGGCCTGGCTTTGCAGCCAATAATCAGGGCAGGCTACGCACAAAGAAGAGGCTAGGCCAAGGGACAGAAGTTGTACTGACTTTATTCCCCTTCACTCTTCTCACTTGCATGCCTGCTGAGTCCACGTTATGCAGCTGTGGGATGCCCAAACATGACCAGATGGCAAGCATCTGGGCACAGCCATCCTGCCACCACCGAGCCCTCTGTGAGGGGCACTGTGGAGGCCATGGAAGCAGGAGTCAAGGCCAGAGGCTCCCAGAACCATGACCACGGGCTAGCGTCAGAGGATACCAGAACCGTAGTCACAAGCTTGATGTCCACCCCGTCACTCGGGCCACTCACCCCAGCTGCCCAAGACCAGAGAGTCCCAGGGACCTGAGGTGGGAATAGGCCCAGGTTCTAGACCTGAGTTCTGGCCAAACAAGCTGAGAAGTCTGGCTGCACAGAGGGACCCCCATAGATCTTGGGAGATGACACTGAACCCCCCTTGCCTCAGCCCTGGGAAGTGGGTATGATGCCCCAGTCCCCTCACTCTGACACCTGGGGGCTCATTAGTTTGTTTCTAAAGTAAAAAGATGTGAAAGTTGGCAAAACAAGAACCCCTATCCATCCCGGCACTGCTGAGGTGTCATTATTGCTTCTGGCCTTGTGGTCTGGCTGGAAGGAGCTCCCACCACCAGTGCCGGCCCAAGGTGAAGAGAGCGTTTAGCACCATGGACACAGGCTCCTGTCTCCAGTGAGACAGGGGCCTCCCAGGAGAGGGGTTGACCATGCCCACCTACAGCTACAATGACCATCTCCACTAGTCACCAGCCCACTGTCTGGACCCCTCACCTGCCCCCAGAGGGGAAGTGTACAAGAACAGGAAACCCAAGTCCTGGGACAGGGTTTCATCACCAGCTCCTCACACGTCTTTACCCTCTGCTTGTCAAAGTATGACCTGACAGACCAGGGTCCCAGCCTGACCAGTGTCCCCCAGGCCCATTCAGGCTGCAGTGGGGCCAGCAGGAGACAAGGCCACCAGCCCCTATGGAAAACCCTATGCCAGTAATGGGGGTTGGAGAACCCATGGGGGTCCCTGCCTACAGCCCACTGAGGGAGACCAACTTTTTGGGGAAAATGTGAGGCAGCTCTGAAGAGTTGCCAGGCACTGGGACCAGAGGTTAGAAATAGCAGGGGGGAGGGAGGGGGGACCCTGAGGACATCACGGAAGCCCAGAGATCAAGGGGTGCAGGGAAGGAAAAGAGCTACAGTCAAGTGGGAGCCTGCAATCCCCACCCTTCGGGTGGGGAGCCAGACAGAAGGCCTTCCTCCTTGGGGAGGGGCCTACCTTCTCTCCCCTAGGGTGGCAGGGGTGCTTGAGGGTGTGTCTGCAGCCCCGGGGAAGCTGCTGGCACTGCCCACTCCAAGCCCAGAAAACAACCAGAGTAGTGTGACTTGGATCATAAATTCTTCAAATCACTTGGGCACCTTGGGCCTGCCCACATCTGTACAGAATAAAGTGCTTCGTTTATTGATGATTAAAATGTCCCCAGTCCCCTGCCCCAGCGCCATGGGCCTCACAGGGAGGTCGGAGGGGTTCAGTCCCCCCAACCATTCCCCTTGGACCCAGGCCACTTCCCACTCCGGCCATGCTGGGAAGGTGATCGTTTTGGGGAGTGGTGTGGGGTTTAAGGTGCAAAGAGTATAACAAACAAAACCATATAAACACAATAGGAAACAGCTTAACTAGGAAACATGTAGCTTATGGAACCTTCCCTCCCCCGTTTTAAAGGCAGGAATAAAGACATTAAATGACAACAAAAAAAGGGTTTCCTATTAGTGCCAGCCTCATGGGGGCAAGCATTGGGCACAGGCTGGGCCTCCCAGTCCCCTTATCATCCCTGGGGGCCCGAACACACAGGCTCCTCTCACCAGCAGTGCAGGGAGCACCTTGCCCACCAGTACAGAGGACCAGGAGGACTAGGATGCTGGAGCAGCCAGGGACAGGTGGTGGCCGGGCCTCAGGGGAGGATGAGACCTGATGCGGGCCTTTGGGAAGCAGTAACAGACACAGCCACACATAGTTCCTTATGGTGTGAGATATATGGCCAGGGTAGCTGGTGAGAGATGTGAGTGCTCTGTGAGCAGCAGCCCTGCCCCCTCCACCACGGATAGCACCTTGAAACCCTAAAACACCTGTCCATGCCTCCTCCTAGAACTCTGCCCCTGGGGTCTAACCCGTTTACAGGGAATTCTTGACTCCAGCTGCTGGGAGCTGGTGCTATGGAAGTCAGCCTGTCTGCCCACCCAGGGCCTGGCATGGCACCCTGAGGCCCCAGCAGTTTCTGGGGACATCTTCTCCAGGACTCAGGACCCTTGGCACAGCCTGGTGCAGGTTGGGCATCCCTGGGCCTGCTGGCAGGGGTGTGGGTGGAAAAGGCAAGCCCCTGGGGTCCAGCCCCTGCCTGCCATGCTCCACACAGTGTAGAGCTGGGTCTGCAGTCTCTGCACCTCACCACTCCCCACCTAACACACTCTGGCATCCAGTCTCAGGCCCTGCCTCAGTGTCCGCAGCCCTTACACTGGGTCCACAACTCCTCCAGGGAGGGCGGCACCCCAACTTCTCCCCAAACCCTCCAAGATGAGGATGCAAATTAGGGGCATCCCACGGGGGTGGGGGTGGTGGGATAAGCCACTGAGGCTGAACCAGGCTCTACCTGGCCAACCCCTCTGGCTCAGGCCTCAGTAGAGTGACTGGTCATCCCTACTGCCCAGGCCCCACCCTCCCGAGTTGCACACCTCCAGCACCCCCTCACCTGGAGGGGACACTGCAAATAGTTTTTTGTCTTTTTCCTTCACTTCCCAAAAAAAAAAAAAAAGAGTAAAGGCTTCAAGGAGTCGCAGAAAGGGGGGCACTTGGGAGCCAGGCGCCCTCCACCAGCCCTGGGCGCTGCCAGCTGCACACCCCGTGGATGGGGCCTCGGGCAGAGCACGTCCCGCCCCCTCTGGGGTGGGGGCACGGCCCAGGCCCATGCTGCTGG